TGCAGAACTACAACTTAACTGGTTGGTCCCCAGCCTGTAATTATGCTTGGGATTCTTCCGTCCCAAGTGCAGGACTTTACACTTGTCCTTGTTGAACCTCATCAGATTTCTTGTGGCCCAATCCTCCAATTTGTCTAAGTCACTCTGGATCCTATCTCTGCCCTTATGCGTATCTTCCTCTCCCCCCAGCTTAGTGTCATCTGCAAACTTGCTGAGGGTGCAATCCATCCCCTCATCTAGATCATTAATAAAGATATTGAACAAAACCGGTCCTAGAACCGAACCTTGGGGCACTCCGCTAGAAACCGACCCCCATCCTGACATCGAGCCGTTGATCACTACTCGCTGGGCCCGGGCTTCTAGCCATCTTTCTATCCATCTTACCGCCCATTTATCCAATCCACAATCCCTTAACTTGCTGGCAAGAATATTGTGGGAGACCGTATCAAAAGCCTTGCTAAAGTCAAGGTATATAACATCCACTGACTTCCCCATGTCCACCGAGCCAGTTACCTCATCATAGAAGCTAATCAGATTGGTCAGGCATGACTTGCCCTTTGTGAATCCATGCTGACTATTCCTAATCACTTTCCTCTCATCCAAGTGCCTCAATATGGATTCCTTAAGGATCCCTTCCATGATTTTTCCAGGAACTGAGGTAAGACTGACCGGCCTATAGTTCCCTGGATCGTCCTTCTTCCCTTTTTTGAAGATGGGCACTACATTTGCCTTTTTCCAGTCATCTGGGATTTCTCCCGATCTCCATGACTTTTCAAAGATAATAGCCAAAGGCTCCCTAAGGGTGTGTTTAGACTACAGGGTTTTGTCGACAAAAGTGGACTTTTGTCAACAAAACTATACTTGTGTCTACACTGCCGCTGAGTTCTGTCAACATAATGTAGACAGAACTCAGCAGTTTTGTCAACGGCTGTAAACCTTATTCTACGAGGAATAATGCCTTTTGTTGACAGAGTTCTGTCGCTAGAAGGCATTATTGCATCTACACTGTCCTTTGCATCCACACTGTCATGTTGACAAAGCGGCTTGCTTTGTCTACAAAACTGGCTGTAGTCTAGATGCTCTTTGTCAACAGAAGGTTTGTCGAGAGTATCCGTCGACAAAACTTCTGTCGACAAAAGCCTGTAGTCTAGACATACCCCTAAGTGCACAAGTTGACCCAGTACACGCCATTGAGCGCACACGCAAGCAGCCTTCTGGTTATCCGCATTGATGGAGCCAGAGACCCATGAGGACAATTCAGCAGTAAATAACACCACACGCTTCTTCCCATGCGTCCTCTTGCCCCACCTGCCCCACCTGACACCCCTGGGTGATTTAAAATCCATTGGAGGCCAACCCCATCATCCTGGCAGTGCCGTGGGACTACAATGGCTTCTAGGAGGCAACAGAGGAGGTGTGTGCAGAGCCGGCCCATCCACAGGTGCAGGTGTGAACCTCTTCACTCATTCTGTAAAACTGGATCAGCTCCCCTGATCACAAGTCTCCTGAAAACTGGGCCTTTTATCTTTTTCCGGAATGTCCAAGCCACGTTATTAGAATTAAGCCAGATCCGGGAACTTCACGACCTGCTGCCCCCTGCAGCGATCTCAGCTCTGATCACTCTGGCTTAGCAGATGATGCTTGTGTGTTGGTGCAGGGTATTAGCAGAGAGCTCCGGCCTTCTTTCTCTTTTTTCTTTGTCCTTGTTTTCAAAGGAAGACTGTTGGTCTCACGGTTTGCGGAGACAAGCTGGAAAACACAAGGTCAGCCCAAGACGTCCTACACCACGTACACACTTGTATTTGTCTCCATGATTTTCAGAGGGGAAATTGGGGCTGATTCAGGTGTTTTGAGCTCATGGGGTAGGCAATACAAGACTTGCAAGCGGATAGGGTCTCTCCTTGTGTCCAAGAGCCCAGAGACAAGAATCCTACAAAACTGTCCTCACCATGACACCTTCATGTTCTCGCACTGGGTGTCTTCCCCCCCAGCCAAAATCTACACCCTCACAAAGGATACTGCCTGCCCCACTAACAGCCAAGTCCTCAGACAGGGATCCCCCAACCCTGCGTGGGGTAAGTAAACGTGTAACCTGCTGGCCCCACAAGTGTATCTGATTGGATGGCTCATTGGCCAGCATCTTTGGCATCGGGGTGTACGCAGCAGAACCCTCTCTGGCTGGGACTATGTTGGTGCTGAACATATTATGAGAACAAGTAAATAACTTATTCTTATTCACTTTTTCGACACCAGTCATGATTTTATAGACCTCCATCCTAACCCCCTTTAGTGTCTTCTTTGTATCTTAAAGTATCACTCATTGGGTTTGTAAACACATTTGTTATGGAAGGGCTATTGCTTGTGAGCGTCTAACTTAGATGTGTGTGAATAAAATAATAGGCAATGCTACCAGACCAAAATAACTCTAGAAGATCTTAGAGAACATTTTTCTTGTTATCCAAAGATACTCTCTAAATAAACATAACCTGATGTTTACCCATCAGATCATGTTGGATTTTAACGGTACCTGTGGGAGTTAGAAGCTCAAGTCCCATTGATTTTCAATGGCAATCGGGTGCCTAATTCCTTCAGGTTTGCTTGAAAACCTCAGCTATAAAGGATCAGGAATTTCTTATTATTTTTTCAAAGAAAATGCCATGCTGGCTACAGAGTACGACTGAAGGTTGAACTGGTGCCATTCTGTGTATTAATTAGTAGGTTGGTCACTGTATACAGGCAGTCCCCGACTTACGTGGATCTGACTTATGTCAGATCCGCACTTACGAACGGGGCTTTTCTCGCCCCGGAGCTAACGGGCGGCAGGTCACCACCCGTGTCCTCCGGGGCGAGAAAAGCTTCTCCCGGTCTCCCGGGTCTGCTGTGGGGGGTCCAGCGGCTTTGCTGGACCCCCCCAGCAGCCCAGGGAGACAGGAGCAAAGCCACAGAGGCAGCATCCCGCCGCCTGTGCGGCTTTGCTCGAGGGCAAAGGAGCAAAGCCACACGGGTGGCGGGGTCCCTCCACCTTTGCGGCTTTGCTTGGGTCTCCCTGGTCTGCTGGGGAGGGGGTGCAGCTAGTGCGCCCGCCCCAGCAGACCAGGCTTTTGTTGCGGGACGCCTCGGGTAGAGCAGCTGGGGTGCTGTCGGGTTGGGTCCTGTGGGAACCTACCGGGCAGTGCCCCAGCTGTTCTGTCCCAGACTCCAGATTCAGCAGCTGTTGAAACTGATCAGGCTGATTCCAGGAAGCTGGGGGCAGAGCAACTCTGCCTCCGGCTTCCTGTAGTCAGGCCCTGGAGCCAGTTCCAACTTACATACAAATTCAACTTAAGAACAAACCTATAGTCCCTATCTTGTACGTGACCCGGGGACTGCCTGTACATTTAAATGTTCATAGCTACTCTACACCTATTGACTCCTACCCAATCTAAGGAAAAGGGCCAAAGTTCATAGGGATGCCAGAATAGCACACACGTTATTTTGAAATATATTTGAAATAACGGGCTCATTTAAAGACACGAAATTGGTATTTTGGGATACTTCCGCTATCCCGGAATAGCCTCACTGTTTAGAAGTAACCTAACCTACCAACATGAATGCTGTGTATGTGTGAGTACCAGCTTGCCATTAAAAATCTGTACTAATAAACAAACCTCAGTCATGCTCGAGTTCACCCTTTGTCTGAGTTTATTCCTTGATTGGGCCAATGGGGGAACAGTACAGACATGTATTTTTACTTGAGGCGCATTATTAATATTTTCTACTAAATATAATGCTTAACTGTTACAACAAGATACTCGCAATACTTTGTACAGGATTGCGGGAGCGTTGAACACTGGAACCACAAAGACTATAATTACACACACATTGTAAACTGCAATGACAATGAGGTGAGAGGAGCAGGTGGAAAAGGCCTTTTGCCTCCCGGTGCTGGAAGGGATTCTCAGGATGGAGACGATAATACAAATGTAGGACACCAAGGTCAGCAGAAAGATTACAAGTGTAAATAGAATAGACAAAAAGTTTCTCAGAATCGTCAGTCTCTCGGCAGGACCACAGAACGAATGTTTCATGGGTGCAAAATCACAAAAGAAATGATTAAACTCTTTGGGACCGCAAGATGTGACTTGTAACATGAAAATCTGTATCATGATGTAGATCAGAAAGCTGCTTATCCAGGCCCAGCCCACCATGTGGCAACAGACCCGGCCGTTCATCAGAGCAGGGTAACTGAGGGGATGACATATCGCTAGATACCGATCGTAACACATGGCCGTGAGCAGCATGCATTCTGCATTGGACAGGATAATATACACATAGAATTGCACAATGCAGTTGTGAAGAGAAATGGTTCTGTCCCCAGTTGCGAGACTGCCTATCAGTCTGGGCAGGGTGATGGAAACGTAGCAGGTCTCCACAGCGGACAAGTTGGCCACGATGAAGTACATAGGGGTGTGAAGGTGCCGATTGACCACCGCTAGCACAATGATGAGGAGGTTCCCAACCACAGCCACAATGTAGATCACTAAGAACACCAAGAAGAGGAGGGGCTGCAGTTCAGGGTCGTTCCCGAATCCTAAGAGGATCCGTTCCACGATGGGCGTTTGATTCCTGCCTTCTGCCTTCGCCATTGTGACTGCCTCTCCACTGTGCAGTGAGATAGTCGGGTGTGCCTGGCTTCTCCTCTCTCCCCAGTTAAAAGTTGTTCCACGCTGGCCAAGGAATAGAAGAGTCATTGGGTGGCGAGAAAAATGGCCAATATAAGAATGAATCTAGTGCCCGCTGGCTAGAGGACTCTGCTTCTCCCTGGGAGCAGTGTAGAAAATCGTCAAAAATCAAACGTATCAATTGATATCTGGTCTTGCTCATCACTGAGGCTACGTCTACACTGGTATGATTTTTCCCGAAAATGCTTTTAACGGAAAAGTTTTCCATTAAAAGCATTTTCGGAAAAGCACATCTCGATTGGCAGGATGCTTTTCCGCAAAAGCACTTTTTGCAGAAAAGCGTCCGTGGCCAATCTAGACGCGCTTTTCCGCAAAAAAGCCCCGATCGCCATTTTCGCAATCGGGGCTTTTTTGCGGAAAACACTACAGTGCTGTCTACACTGGCCCTTTGCGCAAAAGTCTTTCAGAAAAAGACTTTTGCCCGAACAGGAGCAGCATAGTATTTCCGGAAAAGCACTGACGATTTTACATGCTGCCCGACTGTGTGATGGGTCGGGTTCCGCCAGTAAGCATGACGTGTGACAGTGGACAGAGCCGGGTGCTTCAGATGAAGGAACAAGAGACTCTGGTTTACACCAGGTGAGGGAGAAGAAAAGGAGTCCCAATCCTTCAAGTGGAGTGACTCCTGCTTGACACCATCTGAGTGAAAAAAAATTCAGCTGTAAGTTCAAATAAGGCCCAGGCTCCCAAGGGATTGGACACTGTTTTAATTCACACACGTTTCCTTCATTTTAGGGCAAGGAGTGAGATCTCTCTGGTGAAATTTCATGTGCAAACGTGGGCACGGCCACAGCTTAGATTGCCCCCACCTGTTTTTCAGCTCCCTGCCAGCTGCCGCCATGGGGTGGCCTGTGCCCACTAGGAAATAGGCCAAAGAGTCACGCTGTACCAGCGATGGGAGAGCAGACAGCCCCTGGTTTCATCTCGGTGAAAGGCCAGGGGATCAGTTTGCTCTCCTGTTTGCAACAGCTGGGGGATTCGGGATTTAAATAGAACAGAACACACGAATTCCTGGATGGACTCTAAACTGTGGCTTCACTAATGTATCCCCCTGGGGATGGAGGGTTTGTAATTAAGACCCTTGGGTGTTAATTAACAGCAACACTGATTGGCCCTGTCCTCTGATATATTGCAAGGAAGTTGCTTCATTTTTTGAAGAGTGAGGTGCAAATTCTTCCCGGGTGTAATTCCTCTCATTTCCCTGCTTTTACACCAAGGCTGCATCAGCCCGGGTACGTCTACTCTTGCACCCTATTTCAAAATAGGGATGCAAATGAAGACATTCGAAATTGCAAATGAAGCTGGGATTTAAATATCCCGTGCTTCATTTGCATAATTGGGTTAGGGCGCTATTTCAAAATAGCGCTATTTCGAACTAAAACCCACTGTGTAGACGTGCTATTTTGAGAGAAAACCCTTCTGTCGAAATAACCCTTATTCCTCATAAAATTAGGTTTAACAGTTATTTCGAGAGCTATAATGCGTCTACACAGTGCGTTTTATTTCAAAATAGCGCCATAACGCGATTATGCAAATCAAGCATGAGATATTTAAATCCTGGCTTCATTTGCAATTTCAAATGTCTTCATTTGCATGCCTATTTCGAAATAGGGTGCAAGTATAGACATATCCCCCTAGTGATTTGATCGGTAAGGGTATGTCTAGACTACAGGCTTACATCGACATAAGTTTTGTCAACAGAATCTGTCGACAAAACTTACGTAGACATAGAGCATCTAGACTACATCCAGTTCTGTCGACAAAGCAAGCGACTTTGTCGACATAACAGTTTGGACGCAAAGGACAGTGTAGATTCAATAATGCCTTCTATCGACAGAACTCTGTCGATAAAAGGCTTTATTTCTTGTAGAATGAGGTTTACATACGTCGACAAAACTGCTGAGTTTTGTCGATGTTATGTCGACATAACGCAAAGGCAGTGTGGACGCAGGTATAGTTTTGTCGACAAAAGTCCACTTTTGTCGACAAAACCCTGTAGTCTAGACACACCCTAAGATACTGAACCAGGCTCTAATAACAGATATGCCACAGGAGTACGTGGGTGGCCTCCATATTTAGAGTGGTGTAAAGGGGAAGAGACGCTGGGTCATTGGGCCGCAAAGTTCTCCAGCACTTCAGCAGAATGAGTGATACAAACACTCCTGGCCAAAGGAGAAAAACAGAGAATTGCTACATGTTGTTTTGAAGCTGTAACCAGTCCCTGCTGCACACAGACGAGAGGTGCGGTTACACCGCAGCGTGTAAACACAAACACACGAGGAGCTGGGTTTAGGGCCTTTATTCCCCAACTTTCAGGCAGAATTTTAACAAAGTTGGTTTTATGCAGGTAGAACCTCGTGAGGTTTCCAAAAGCAGTAACTTCCAGACAGCTTCCCCTGAGTTCTGTAGGCTTCTAATCTCAACGGGCAGCCTACTTGATCCAGTGATGGCCCGCAGAACCATTCACCCTAAGGAGACATGCACGCTGCTTCCTGGACCACAGCGCCCCCTAGCACCGCACTGGGCATGGCGGCCAGCACTTCCTGTTTTGGGAGAGTGCCCCCTGCACTGAACACTACTGGGATCACATAGTGGAAGAATCCAGCAAGGAAACCAGCCAATATAAGAATGAAATGAAAGCGCGTCTACCCTGCAGCGCTGTTCTGGGTCTTTGGCGCGTGCCCGTTATTTCCAAATGTAACGGGCTCACCGTTCCAATGTTCCCGCAAACCTCGTTCCACGAGGAGTAAGAACATTTCGGAATAGCGGTTTAGTTTGAAATAAGCTATTTCAAAATGAACGCGAAATCAGCTACGCCATTGGTGTAGCTCAAATTGCATCATTTATATCAAGCACCGGGCGCAGTGTAGACACACCCTCAAATGGCAGAGCATGAAAATGGTTAAAGAAGAAGGGGATTGGAGACCGGACGCCCCAGTTCCACTCCAAGTTCTGAGAAGGAAGTGGAGTCCAGTGGTTTGGAGATGGGACTTAACCCAGCTGCTCTGTCTTCTCTTAATTTTCCAGCCCCATTAGATTATGGTTACCCTTTATGCTTGTTCCTGCCATGAAATGCCCAGAAAGCTCGGGAAATTACATCCTCAGTGTTTATGGGTCATGCAAGATGTGAATCCCTAATACTCAGAGGGTATGTCTACACTACCTCGTTAATTCGAACTAGCGGGGTAATGTAGGCATACCGCAATTGCAAATGAAGCCCGGGAAATGAGGAGTAACGGTAGTTCGTGGAATGAGTAACGGAAGCTCGTGGAATGAGGAGTAACGGTAGTTCGAACTAGGAAGCCTAGTTCGAACTACCTAGTTCGCGTCGCGTGTAGCCACGCTGCATGGGGTTCGAACCAGCGAGGATTTAAAAATGGTGGCACCCCGCTTATGCAAATGAAGCCCGGGAAATTCAAATCCCGGGCTTCATTTGCAATTGCGGTATGCCTACATTACCCTCCTATTTCGAAATAGGAGGGTAGTGTAGACATACCCAGAAAGTTCAGAAAAGGATAACAAAAATGATGAGGGGTTTGGAACAGGTCCCATATGAAGAGAGATTAAAAAGACTGGGACTTTTCAGCTTAGAAAAGAGGAGACTAAGAGGGGATAGGACAGAGGTCTATAAAATCATGACTGGTGTGGAGAAAGTGAATAAGGAAAAGTTATTTACTTCTTCTCACAATATAAAAACTAGGCGTCACCAAATGAAATGAATAGACAGCAGGTTTAAAACAAACCAAAGGAAATTTTACTTCACTCAGTGCACAGTCAACCTGTGGAACTCCTTGCCAGAGGATGTGGTGAAGGCGAGAACTTTAACAGGGTTCCAAAAAGAGCTAGATAGATTCATGGAGGTTAGCCAGGATGGGTAGGAAGGGTGTCCCTAGCCTCTGTTTGTCTGGAGGTGGGTGACAAGGGGAGGGTCATGTGAGGATTCCCTGTTCTGTTCCCTCCCTCCGGGGCATCTGGCATTGGCCACTGTGGGCAGACAGGACAATGGGCTAGATGGGCCTTTGGTCTGACCCAATATGGCCGCTCTTATGTTCTTATGCTCCTGGTCATGAGGGAATAGAAATCTGACTCCTACAAAGGTTTGAAACTCAAACGTGAGTCATTGTGCGAGCATAGCTTGTGTCTATATCTAACCTTAGGAATATTGACACTGTGCCTTGGGCAGGGGGCTGGACTCCTGAGGTCTCTGCCATCCCTATGATTCTATGACTCGGGCTCACTCTTGTCTCCTTACGGTCCCTGGGCGACCCCCCCTTCCATGGGACTGCCCTTTGAATTGTGTTTGTGCAACTCCTTTCCTTCTCTTTGAAGAAAACAGAAGTTTCGGGCAGATAAGATGCAGAAAAGAGGAACCACGGCGGAAGGGAAAAAAGGGGAAGTCCCTGGCACAGTGCAGTGAGTGTTTCTGGCAGGCACCAACTTCTGACTGGGAGGCTGCCTGCGTTTGGATTGAGATGCTACAGACGGTGAGTTTCTATCCCTGCGCCTGCCTCGGGGTCCCTGTTTAGGCTCCCAAGCTGTAGTCTGAGCCGAAGACTCCCATAGATTCCTCTGAGAGCTGACAGGTCCTCGTCCCAAGATTAGGCCCAGTAGCATTATTAGGTCAATTACTTTATCGTGGGGCACCCCAATGCGCACAGAGGGAACGCTCCAAAGAGAGGGCTCTTTTCTGTGTACAGAGAAAGCTTTAATTTACAGCTGTCCATGCCGACTCAGTGAGAGAGCGTGAGATGCCACAGAGGGGATATGGAAAGAGCATTGGAACATCCATACTCACCTCAGGCCTAGCAACTCATGTCCCAACCGGGAGATTTGCCCTTATTTTGCTCATTACTGTCACCTTCCTCATCTTCTACCGTGGCACCTTCCTCGTCTTCAACCGTAGC